ATCTTGTAATTTAACACCTTGACATTGGGCCTCTGTCTCTTTAAAACTCATGCTCTTTCTGAAATTCCGCCTTCGGTAAGTCATTTCAGTATTGCTCCTCTATTAACCCTTTAACAACATTTTTACCAGTGATGCACTGAGAAGCAGCTCCTATAATAAGCTCAACAGATGCACAATGCCACCAGGTGTTTGTTAATTGCTGCTGACTAGCTCCAAAGTTTGGAAAATGCAGATAAGAGGAGGACCTTGTCCTCAAAGGTGGAGCTAGGTCCACCAAGGTGTTTTTCACAGCTAAATTGCAACGGGAGAATGAAGGATTCCTCAAATATGTATAAAAGATCTAAGGCAACACTCCAGGTATATTTTTGGTGAGGGAATAACAATACAACATGATGCAAAGCTCAAAAAGTAAATTTTACATAATATTGCCAATTTAACATTTAGCCACAATAATCAAGTATCACAAACATATTGTCTCCTGTTTGTGATGCTCCAAATTTGTCTAAATTCATGTCCTGTCCATGCTGTGTTAAGCACTCATTCAGCTCACCTGCCATGCCTGATTGCTTACCTATTCCACCTTGGCCCCGCCCTACTTAAACACCTCTCAGCCTCTGTCTCCTTGCCAGATTATCGGCAGCCATGAGCCAGTAGAGATCCAGCGTTTCCTTCCAAGCCTTCAGTGTTTCTACAACCCTTTTCTGTCCATGGATTTACCCCCCCTGCCAAGCCCTTCATGGGTCCCTTCTGTTCTGGATTTCTGGACCCTGACCCAAGCTCTGCCTTTCTCCACCACCAGCCAGTGGTGGAGAAAGTACTCAAAAAATGTACTTAAGTAAAAGTACAAATACACAGACAAAAATGTACTCAAGTGAAAGTAAAACTACCACGTTAACATTTTACTTAAGTAAAAGTAAAAAAGTACTGACTTTTAAAAACACTTAAGTATTAAAAGTAAAAGTACTTGCTGAATGCATTACCTAATCACTAATATCATTAAGTGAACCGATCATATTTAATTATAATACGCCAGAAATGTGCCATTTTATTGAACAATGCTACAGATATAGCATGTTTTTATTGTTTACTCTCTGTAACATAGTTTAGACTTAGATATGATTCTATGCATCATAATTTCAGGGATGGAAACATTTCGTCTTCTGTCCTAACATAGCATGAACTTCACTTTTTTTTTGCCACTAGTGGCATTTATTTTGAAAGAAATCCAACTGAAAGGGTGGGCAGGGGGGGACATGGAACCAAGAAGCCACGTAGCAGAGTTGTAGTCTAGACCACCAAACCTGAGACCAAATCAAGACCAAGACCAGCACCCTGCGCTACATGACAATAAAATTAAGTGCAATTGCTTCTCTAATTGATCTGAAAGATCCACATTCCCATAAAAACACCTAGATATTAAATACTT